AAAAAAAAAAAAAACCAAAAACATGGGCATGTGGCTATTGTTTCACTAAAATAAAATAGTCAGTTAGTTGAACAATAAAACTATGATTTAGAAACGTCCCAAATGACAAAAGCTCATAATAAATACACATTTAATTTTCTCAATTGCCAAATTGCTTACCGTTAAAGATCGAGCTATTCAGGTAAATAAAGAACATTCCCAAACACGCCCTCCACCAGATTTTTCTTCAGTTTTTCGCCATAAAAACCTCACCTTTGAGAAAAAAAATCTCATCACTCTGCAAAAAAAGCCCAAAATCCCTTTTCTTAATTTTCACAAAAAATGGGCGTCGATTACTACAACATACTCAAGGTGTCGAGGAACGCGACGGAGGAGGACGTGAAGAGGTCGTACAAGCGGCTGGCCATGAAATGGCACCCGGACAAGAACGCCGTGAACGCGGCGGAGGCTGAGGCGAGGTTCAAGCAGATAAGCGAGGCCTACGACGTGCTGGGCCACCCGGAGAAGCGGCAGATCTATGATCTGTACGGTGAGGAAGGGCTCAAGTCCGGCGCGTACCCGCCGCCGCCGCCGGGGTCGAAGGACAGGGATTTTGGGGGCGGCGGCGGAGGGGGGAGGGTGTTTAAGTTCAGCCCGAGGGATGCGGAGGATATTTTCGAGGAGTTTTTTGGTGGGTTGGATGGGGGGGAAGGGAAGGGTTCCGGCGGCGGAGGTGAAGGCGGCAGTGGTGGTGGCGGGAGGTTGAAGAAGGCGGCGGTCATGGAGACCAAGCTGCCGTGTAGCTTGGAGGAGCTGTATAAAGGGTCGAGGAGGAAGATGAAGATATCGAGGGTTGTACTTGATGCTTCAGGGTAGGGACATTTGATTTATTTTTTGTTATTATTATCTTATTTTTTGGTTAATTGACTGTTAATTTCAATTTATTTGATTTCTGATGATGGGATTGTGAAAAGTTGATTTGATTAATTCTATGTGTTCAGATTTGGAAGGACTTTAATTGTGTGTGAATGTGACTGCAAATCTATGTCTTGTTATGACCCTCTCTTGTGATTGAAAGAATATTTGAGCTATCCTTTTTTTTTTTTTNTTATGTTAATTCTTGAGTCGAACAGCAAATGTGCTAACTTATGTGATGATGAATTGAGGATCCTATGCAGGATTGATTTGTTTTGTGCTGGCCCTTATCCCTAAATTTCTATTGAATGAAGCTATTATAATTCATATGCTTGTTTGAGATTTTTCTTGATGTGTTTACTTGTGATTGAGGAGGATTGAAGGAAGTAAAACGTGCTACGGGCAAAGAACTATTTTTACTTAATTCGAAAGGTGAAGCAAATGATCCTAATGGATTCGAAAAAGGTCAAATATTAAAACTGAGATAGTGTCGTGGTAAAGAATCTAGAAAACTATGAATACTTCCGCAAGTCGATCAGAATACTCTACTTGTGGCCTGGATAAAGCTACTACTTTTGCATATAAAGCGTGACGTAACATATTATATTTTGTGAACGAGCCATGATAATTCAGATGACTTACATGTGCTCATTTCGAATTAGGCAAAAAGTTTCCTGGTTAGTAGATACCTGTTTGATCATGTTCATGTTAGTTGATTCAATTATGTGAAGGGAATTCAACTGAAAGATCAAAGTAATTTATGTTATCTAATCTGACTGATGTGCTATTAAATTTGAAATTCCTGCTAATTCTCAGTGCCCAACATTAACTTTTGAGTACTATGCTCGAGTTTAATTACAAGAAAAATGAAATGGAAAAGAAAAGTATCTTTCAACATCGCCAATAATCCTTCGACCGTTTCTTTCTTTTTAGGCTATGTTTGATAACCAAATAAGCTAGCTTATTTGGTTATAACTTATTTGGTTAGCTTATAGCTTATTTGGTTTTATTTGGTTAGCTTACAAGCTTGTATTCAAATAAGTAGGACGAACTTTTTTAAAAAAAGCTCGAGTTTATCTCATAAGCTTCTTTGAGTAGTTTTTCAAATAAGGTCGTTGAGATTTTTATTTCAACTAGCTTATCAGCTAATTTTACCAATTACTTTTACCGTATAAGCTAGCTAGCTTTTCAGCTATAAGCTCGAAAATCACTTATAAGCTATCAGCTGGTTTTACCAAACATAGCCTTAATTTCTTTTTCTTTCCCTATCAAAATACAACACATGAAAGGAAAGAAATGTTAATATAGAGTTCATTGGGGTCCAAGGACTATCTTAAAGGTTATTTATAATATTCAAAGACACACACACACACACACACACATAGTTTATTTATCTCCACTATAAATTCTTTAGTTATTTTTTTCAGGTCGAGACATTTTTTTTTTTTTGTTTTGAAGGAAGCCAACCACTGTTGAGGAGGTCTTGGCTATACACATCAAGCCCGGTTGGAAAAAGGGCACGAAGATCACATTTCCCGATAAGGGCAATCAGAAAGACGGTTTTGCCCCTGGAGACCTAATTTTCGTTGTGGACGAAAAACCCCATCCCGTTTTCAAAAGGGATGGAAATGATTTAATAATCCATCAAAGGATCTCTCTACTCGATGCCCTCACAGGTAAGACTCTCAAAATCGCAACTTTAGATGCTCGGGATATAACTGTGCAAGTGGCAGATATTGTTAAGCCGGGATATGAAATGTTGATAAAAGATGAAGGCATGCCTGTTTCGAAAGAACCCGGAAAAAAAGGGAATTTGAGGATAAAGTTTGATATTAAGTTCCCATCAAGGCTTAGTGCAGAACAGAAATCGGATCTGAGGAGGGCCTTGGGGAGGTCTAATGGTTAGTTAAACTCTGTTTATGGATGTTGAAAAAAACTACCAAGTGTATATACTTTAATCATACTTCAAACTAGAGAAGATGTGCATATTAGGAGGAAATAGATTTGGGTTTTGTTTGTTTGTTTTGTTATCGTAACTTTAGCTTCTTTATGAAGCTGCTGCTAAGTAAGACGAACAATTTTGCAATCGCTGAGCAATGTATAAAAGTTTGAGTATTGCTTGTTTACTTATGGAGATGATGAGCTTGTTAACTGTATTATTGATTTATTTATTTTTTATGTGGCATTTCTTTGAGTTATTTCCAGTGAATGCTCATTTTATATCAGGCCTATTTCTGTTCTTTCTAGTAATGTGTTTGATAGGGTTATTTTTTATCGATTAACTGCAACAGTTACTTTCCTTCTCAAGTGAAGAGTATTTGACACTCACGAGTCATGTCAATTACACATAATTAGAAGAGAACAAAAAAAAAAAGGCAAAAACTGACAATGATATTACATTTCCCGAGTATTTTGGCTGCAAAAATTCAAATATGCTACTAACTTTCATAAAAACCAGAGCTCACAAGTAGTTTTTCTTGTTTCTTTTTTCTTTATTTTTTTTCTTTTTTTTCATATTCATTTTCTTGGCTCTTATTTTTCCCCTTTTTTTTCGTTTGGTTCATAATTCTATATTAGAACCTGTGCTGCTCAATTTTCTTCCTGAGTTCTTCCCTTTTTGCCCCCACAACTTTATCAACCTCTTTTCCTTTCTTTATTAGAATGAAAGTTGGCATTGTATGAACTCCAAACTCAGTTGCCACACCCTGTTCATGTAAAAAGATACCCACTAATTATAATTACAGTCCTCACAAAACAATTTAGTAGCATT